GGTAAGAAAAACACAGTGGACGATGCACTACCACGAAGGTTCTGTAGTGTACAAATCTCCTCCCGATAATTCCTAATTCATGAACCACACTTAGGAAACTTAAGGGATTACTTTCACAAACTAGTTGACATGATTTTTCAACACTCATTCTCACCACACATGAGTCAATCCATGGAGAGAATATATGAAGCAATCATAAAGAAAGCCAACAGTAGCCAGCGCCATGTTCAATTTCAACCTAAACATCATATTACAAGACTTGTATGCTAAAGAGAATTTCAAGACTACAAGAAATTAGTTCCTACAAAGAATAAACCTCGACTAAAACACATAAAGATGCATCACTTTGATCCTGGTAAATGTTTCACAAGTTTTCACTACCACAAATATTCTGCAGTCTATCAATCTCTTCCCGAGAATTCCTAATTCATGAACCACATTTAGGAAACTTAAGGGATTACTTTCACAAACCAGTTGACATGATTTTTCAACACTCATTCTTGCCACACATGAGTCAAACCATGGAGAGAATATCTAAAGCAATCATAAAGAAAGCAAACAGTAGTCAGCGCCATGTTCAATTTCAACCTAAACATCATATTACAAGACTTGTATGCTAAAGAGGATTTCAATACTACAAGAAATCAGTTCCTACAAAGAATAAACCTCGACTAAAACGTATAAAGAAACATCACATTGATCCTTGTAAATATTTCACAAGTTTTCATTTCAACACATCTAATTCTCTTTCTATTGGATTTTCAGATTCGAGGATGAATCCTTTTGAGGAGTGGGGGAATGATACATGTACCAGAGTTTATAATGATAATACATGATTATCGAAGATTCAAAGCATATCTATTTGGTAAGCATAATGTGAATGAATCATTAAACGGTTCTAATGTTGCTCCCTTTAATGTTTCAGATTCGAGGTCGAATCTTTTTGAAGAAAGGGAGGATGATACAAGGATCACAACACTCACATCAAAAGAAGAAGTAATAACAATTCCAAATGATCCACTCATCCAAGACATGGAAAAGAAGACTAGAACAACAACAGACTTGCAACGACTTTTGAATGAGATCCTGATCTTATTTGGTCAACATGTCTTCTGGATATACGACCGTTTGTCTCTTATATTTCCAAATGTTCTTGAATTGAATCAATATGATATTGGTAACTCAAGATATGCCATTTTAGTGAAGACAGTGCATGTAGAAAATTCTATACTGGATTAATACGGGATTTTGTAAATATTATGAATTTTCAATATTTTTATTGATTATTTGTAATATAATTTAACATAGGATGATGCGTTATCTTTTAGGATTATATTTATTATTTTATTAGGAATTAAGGTTAAGTTAAAACATTATTTTTAGTTATTATTATTTTATTAGGAATTAGAGTTGAGACATGTTTAGTTTATTGTTATTTTATTCATTAGTTATTTAGGACCTTTAGAACTCATCCCCTATATAAAGGAGGCTTCATTAAACTTTGTAAAACAGATTTCTTTGATTAATAATACAACGATAGTGAGTTTTTTCAAGTGATGATTGTCTTATGTCTTCAAATCTTCTTCTGAAGTTCTTTCAAGTTCTTATGAGGGAGATCAATCTTCACACTCCAATTTGCCTTTTCATTGCAACTAGGAGGGTTGGTTAGAGCCATATTATCGAGCTTGCCTTTCCACTACGACTAAGATGATTTGATAGGACACTTATCCATCTATTTTCCAAAAATTCATCCTCACTATCATCATCTTTACCGTTCACCTTTATAAGGTAGATCTTTTGATTTCTTGGCTATCATATTTTATTCTCAATTTCTTTGTCTTTTGTTTATCTTGTTATAATCTTGTTTCTTACCTTGTTTCCAGCACATAAAAGAAACTCTAAAAGTCCCTAGCTGCTACTGCTACCTTCCCCTATTTGTCCCCTTTGTTCTTCATCGAGTTTAGAGCTTTCTAAGTTTGATTCTTCGACAAGAGCAACGTTCATTAACCCGTCACCGCTTCCCTGTCATCCTTCCACTGCTACTAATGGTCAGGGTAATCGGAGGAAAATTAATTCCTTGAGAAACTATTCTACCCCTGGTTCGACACAAGGGTTTAAAATTTAAAGCCCAATCGAGAAACCGAACACTCGTTAAGGAAGCTATGGAATCGGTAGTCAATTCAATCCAACGCCAAGAGTTGTCTTACCAAACAGGGGTTGTTCATGTGGGTGAAGAAAAAGAGAGCCAATAGCTTCAATCTCCTTCCTCTCCGTTACTTCATGGATTTCACTCTTTTTGTTTGGAATTGTCAAGGCAGTAGCAAAATTAAATTCCCTAAAGTCTTCTCTGAGTATATGAATGACTACAAACCTAGATTAGTTGCCCTTCTCGAACCTTGCATTAGCGGTAAGAAAGCAATTGAGTCATCGAGAAACTTAACTTTGATAACTCCTATAGAGTTGAGGTGATGGGTTCTTTCGAAGGAATTTGGCATCTCTGGAAATCCCCTCTTCCCATCGAGGTGGTTGTCGCTCACCCCCAATTCATTCATACCAAGGTTTCGGACCCCTCTATCCCGACTCCCATCTCTAGTACTATTATTTATGGCAGACCCAAAATAGCAAACTTATTAATAATTTTATACATGTAAAATTTATTAATTTTACATAATATAAATGAATCCTAATATTATATATGTATATAAGGTCAAATCTATACGTTAACTCAAAATTTTGAGTCATTTGTTGAGTCAAAGAAATTCGAGTCATTTGTTACGTCTTTGACTCTTTAGTGGACTCTATCCGCATTTGACTAATCTAGTAAACTAGGGTTCTCAAGAGGTGAGAGCGACATCACTCTTTAATTTATACCAAGTTAATTTTAAACGTTTAATGTTACCGCCAAATAATTGCTTTTTTTATCTCTTTGTATATAAGGTCAAATCTATACGTTAACTCAAAATTTTGAGTCATTTGTTGAGTCAAAGAAATTCGAGTCATTTGTTACGTCTTTGACTCTTTAGTGGACTCTATCCGCATTTGACTAATCTAGTAAACTAGGGTTCTCAAGAGGTGAGAGCGACATCACTCTTTAATTTATACCAAGTTAATATTTTAAACGTTTAATGTTACCGCCAAATAATTGCTTATTTTTTATCTCTTTGTTTAAAGTTAAACATAAACATAAAATAGTTAAATCGTTTACTTTTATAAGGCTTAAACTAAAAATATATATTTAAATTATACTATTTTTCTTTAAATATTTAAATTATTTTTAGTTAAAATAAATCCTTAATTTAATATATGTAACCACTTTAAGTACTTTAACTATTTTTTTTGTCAAAATAAGTCTTTAAACTATAATCCTTTTTTTACTTTAAGCCCCTAAAATATTTTTTTATCAAAACAAGTACCTAATTTTGTGTGACATGTCAACATCTTATTGGTCGAAAAATAATTTTTAACTGAAAAATATTAGGACTTAAAATAATTAAATATAATAGTTTAAATACTTAGTTAGACCAAAAAAATATTTTAGGTAACTATAATAAAAGATATATTTGTTTTACTTTAAACCTTTTTATAATAAGGTGACTAATCTTCAACTTATAATGTATGACTCGCTTTGACAATTTAACCTAAAGGGTGATACAATACAAAGTAACTTCAAATATCAAATGGATGGTTATTATATCCAGATCCTAGACTTGAGTACCGATAATTGCAGGGTATTTGAGTGTTCATTGTTAAATAGTTAAAATATTTTAAGATAAATATTATCACTTATAATTTTCCTAGATTAATAAAAATAAACTTAAAAGTACAATAATATATTTAAATAATTCTAATTAAAATTATTCAGTAAAAATACGATTAAATTAATAAATAAAATATTTTGACTTAAACTAAAATAAATAAAGGGCCAAAAGAAAATTCTAATTCAATATCATTTCCAGCAGAGTTACAACGTAATCAACACCATTTCAATCAGGCAGCTTGACATTCTAATTAGAAGGTTGAATTCGGAGTCAAGAAAGAGAATTGAGTCCCCCTTTACGGAGCTGGAAGTTTGGCAAGCAATCAAATCCGTGGATGGTAATCGTGCCCCAAGTCCTGGCGGGTATAACCTGGAGGTTTTTAAAAAAAATTGGGAATACTTGAAATCGGAGGTAATGTTTTTTTTTTTTTAGAAGTTCCACAGAGGAAATATAAATGATATCGCTTTCAACAAGTCCTTCATAGCTCTTATTCTGAAGAAAGCAGGGGTAGAGTGCTTTGAGGATTTCCGATCAAATTCGCTTGTTAGTAGTATTATAAAATTTTGGCTAAAGTGCTTTTGAGAAGATTAACAGCTGTAATTAATGAAGTAATCGGGGAATGTCAGTTCGATTTTATAGCTGGTAAGCAGACTGTAGACTGCTTATTAATAGCGAATGAAGTGACAGATGACATAAAGAAACACGAGAAGGAAGCTATAGTTTTCAAAGCGGATTTCAGCAAGCCTTATGATATTGGAGATTGGTTTTTCTTGACATTTATAATGAAAAGGATGGGGTTCGGTAGAAGATGGAGAAATTGAATCAATGTTTGTATTTCTTCTCCATCAATTAGTTAATGATGCGTAGTCTGAATGTTTTAAAATCAAGAAGGGATTACGGCAAGGTTGCCCCTGTCAACATTTATACTGGTAAAAAGGATGAAGACGAGCTGTATGAAGCAATGATTTACTCACTGTGTATATCTTATGTACAACCAAGCTAATGTATTTATACATATTTAATTAACAACTAAACTGCTACTAACAACCTAATTAACTTCCTAACTAATTTGCTTAATCAACTTCTCATCACTCCCCCTCAAGTTGTTGAATGATTCATGTCTTTCATTCCTAACTTGACCTTCAAACGTTCATGCTGGTTTGTCCCTAGGCTCTTTATGAAAATATCAGCCTATTGATCTTTAGTTGAGACATGCTTGGTATAAACAACTCCCTTTTGTATCTACTCACTAACAAAGTTACAATCGATCTCAATATGCTTCGTTCTTTCATGATACACCGGATTTGCTGCAATGTGAAGTGCAGCCTGATTAACACAATACAATGTTGTTGGCTCATGATGCTTAATTCCCATTTCCTTAGTCAATCCTCTCAACCAAACCAATTCTGCTACACTAGATGCCATACACCTATATTCAACCTCAGTTGATGATTGTGAAATTGTGCTCTGCTTCTTAGACTTCCAACATATGAGAGAATCTTCCAACTTAACACAATAACCAGTAACAGAACGCCTTGACATTGGACAAGCCGCCCAGTCAGAATCACAAAATGCAACTAAGTTGGGCTTACTTTTGACTGAAAACAAAATGTATTCTCCTAGATTTTTTCGAATATATCTCACGATACGCATAGCTGCTTAATAATGAACTTTCTTTGGAGCTTTCATAAATTAACTTAAAAGCTGAATTGCATACATGATATATGGGCAAGTATGTGTCAAGTAAAGAAGCCTTCCAATCAATCTTTGATATATTCCAGTATCTTCTAAAATCTCATCAGAACGATGCTCAACGTGCATATCATACTAGACGATGTAAGCTTTTGATTCTACTCAAGAGGTCTAGAAACACTGCGTGCATTCCCCAAACCAGAATCTGCAATAAGTTCCAAGGTGAATTTTCGTTGACTTAGAACGATTCCTTCTGCAGTTCGCACAACTTCAATGCCTAAAAAATACTTGAGCTGCCCCAAATCTTTTATCGTAAAATTTCTGTGAATAATGTTTTTTAACTCTTCTATCATTCCAATATCATTGCCTGTGATCAATAGATCATCCACATAAATCAACATTATTACCAATTTTCCACCCTCTCGTTTTTTGAACAGCGAGTATTCATAAAGGCTTTGCACATAACCACTAGCAATAAGGGCTTCAGTCAATTTTAAGTTCCATTGAAGAGATGTCTGCTTCAAACCATATAATGATTTGAGCAACCTACATACTCTAAACTCCCCCTGGTTGCGAAAACCATTTGGCAACATCATATAGACTTTTTCATGAAGATCTCCTTGTAAGAAAGTATTGAAGACATCCATTTGATATAACTCACATCCAAACATAGTAACCATGGCAATAACAGTACGAACATTAACTTGTTTTGCCACATGTGAAAAGGTATCATGGAAGTCAATACCTTCACATTGACTATAACCTTTAGCAACTAAACGGGCTTTAAATCTTTCAACTGAACCATTAGAGTTATACTTGATCTTGTATACCCATTTGCTGCCAATAGGTCATTTATTTGGGGGTAGATCAACCACTGTCCAAGTACTATTCACTTCTAGAGCATGAATTTCATGTTGCATAGCTTCTACCCATCGTTCATCACGAGCTGCCTCATGATAGGTTTTAGGTTCAACTAAAGAAGAAACATCAAACTCTGGTGTTTGTGAAGGTAAATGGGAAGAAGAAAGATGATTGGAAGAGGAAAGCATGCCTGCTTGCAGCGAAGTAGAATAAGAGGATTGAGAAGGAAAAATAAAATTAGATAACCAGGAAAATGGTTTAGTAACCTGAGTAGAACGCCACAAAGGAGAGAAGCTAGATACAAGTGGCTGACTCGATAAATGAGAAGATGAAAGACATGAATCTGAAATCGGATAAGCTGAACCATAAGCTAAACTTGGAGCATTTTTAGTTTCAAGGTTGCATGAAAACTAATGCACAGGTAAAGACTCATCACGTGAATTATGAGTTGTTACAACTGGAATATGCAAAAAATCTCGATCAAGGTCACTAGGCAATGTTGAGATAGGAAACAAGGGAGAATTTTTAACCGAAAACTGAAATGGAAAGATAGACTCATGAAATACTACATCATGATTGAAAAAAAAAGATTTAGAACTTAAACTAAAAAGAACATAACCCTTTTGCACCCACGAATATCCCATAAAAACGGAAGGAACAGACCTAAAAGAAAATTTGTCATGATTGTTAGGGATAGTAACATAACAAAGACACCCAAAAACTCTAAGATGTGAAAGACTAGGTATCTTCCCATAAAGCATTTGAAATGGTCTTTTCCATCGAAGAACCTTGGTTGGTAGCCTATTAATTATGTAACAGGCAGTTTGAATACACTCACCCCATAATTTATTTGGAACAAAAGACTGAAACTTAGGAGCACGAGCAACATTAAGTAGGTGTTAGTGGTTTCGCTCATAAACCCCATTTTGTTGGGGCGTATTTGATGAAAAATCCCTTGAGAAGAAAAGAAAGCATTGCCTTCATTGTAAAGAATTCCCAACCATTATCACTTCTCACAGTTTTAACTTTACCAAAAAAATGATTGTCAATATAGGCAAAAAATTATTTAAGGGTAACAAATGCATCATTTTTGAGTCTAAGTAAAAACACCCAGGTCATACGAGTATGATCATCAACAAAAATTAAGAAATATCAATGTCCACTTTGTGTTGAAATACGATATGCGCCCCAAAGATCAATGTGAATAAGAGAAAATGAAGTTGACTCGTGAGAATTACTCACAGGAAATAGTAAACGAGTTTGTTTAGCAAGAGGACAAACACCACAACTTTTAATATGATCAATATTAGACAAAGTGCTATGTAACTGAGACATTTTATTCAAAGTACTCAAAGAAGTATGGCCAAGTTGTGCATGCCATAAAACACCATTATCTAATTTTTACAAAGTAAAAGACAAACAAGAATTTTTACTGGAAACAACATGACAAACTGACGGGCTGGGTGATGATTTTAAAATGTAAAGGCCATCATAAGATCTTCCAATCCCCTTCATTTCTCCATTGCAATGGTCCTGTATAAGGCAAAATTAGGGATAAAAGGTTAAAGAACAATTAAGCTCTTTGGTTAATTGTGAGACAGACAATAAATTGTAATGAAAGTCTGGTACATGGAAAACATTGGTTAACGTGTGATTAGGAGAAAAGGCAATAGTTCCTTTGTGGGCTATATGTGTGGTTTTACCATTCGGCAGCTGAACAAACGAAGAGGAGCCACAAGCAACATAAGAACTCAACTTCTCAATATCAAAGGTCATATGATTCATAGCTCCAGTATCTAGAATCCAGTTATGATGCAAGGGTACAAGACGAGTACCTGCCATATGCGCTGCAGCTTGCACAGGTGGATCTTTTTCCAATAATTCAAGAATCTGCTGATACTGTTCATGTGTAAAGGTAAAAACCTTAGCAGAAACAGAGTTTTCAGCCAAAGAAGAGGTCGATTCTCTTTCACTATTCAAAACAACATTGTTAGCAACAGATCCCTTAAGCTTATTAAACTTGTAATGAGCTGGGTAACCAATCAGCTTGTAGCACGTTTCTTTCTTATGTCCTTTGATATGAAAATAATCGCACACTCCATGAAAACATTTCTTGACCTGAGTGCTAGAGTAGAATGCAGCAGGTTCTAAAACACTTGCTAATCTTCCTATATTTTGACGCTGACCTTCCTCTTGAACAAGCATGGAATACGCTTGATTTACAGAAGGTAATGGTTTTAACAACATTATTTAAATGTGTACCATAGAGTAGGAATCATTCAATCCCATAAGAAAATGAAAAAGTTGTTGTTGATGAACATGTTCCTTATTATGACGAGAAACTTCACAATTGCACATAGCGAAAGGGGTAATAGCATCATATTCATCCCAGAGCAATCGCAAGCTTGTGTAATAAACCGAAATCGAAGACGTACCTTTAGAATGAGAAACAATTTCTCGATGCAGAAAATAAACACGTGAACTATCAATCTTATCAAAATATTCTTTAAGATCTCCCAAACACATAATGCATTTGAAGCAAAAACTATTCCTGCAGAAATTTCTTGATTGACCGTATTTAAGATCCATGAAAGAACAATGGCATTGCAACGCTCCTATTGTGCCAAAAAATATGGAGAAAGACCTTCATCAGAACAAGTTTCATCTATGAATCCAATCTTGTTATTGGCTAATAAAGCAATGCGCATAGATCTGCTCCATAGATTGTAGTTTTCCACACCAGTTAGCTAATGAGAAACGAGCAACATTCTCGGAGTGTCTGAAGGATGAAAATAGAGAGGATGATTGTATTCGATCTGAGTTGTCTCCGGTTGGACCATAATTGTGCAGAAACAAAGAACATGAAGGATTGCAATTAAACGAACTCACCGGTAACAAACTAACCGGAAACAACCACCGACGATGGCCTCTAATACCATGTCAACATTTATACCGGTAAAAAGGATGAAGACGAGCTATATGAAGTAATGATTTACTCAGTGTGTACATCTTATGTACAACCAAGCTAATGTATTTATGCATATTTAATTAACTAAACTGCGACTAACTAACTTCCTAACTAACTTGCTTAATCTGCTTCTTAACACCCCTTATCCCCATTTCTCTTTAATAAGGTGGGCTAAGCTCTAACTGGCCCGATAAACAAGCTGTTGTAGTAAGAATAATAAATGGTGTGCATGTGGGGTCCATTGGCTTTCCCATTTCACACATTCAATTTGCCAACGACTTGGTAGTTTTCTCCAACGCCAATCTTGGATAGTTATGTCTTATGGCAAATTAATATACGGTTAAGAAAAAGTATTATTGGAAATGTTATTATTTTTTAATATTTTCGGTAAAATGCTATCTAAAATATTATTTTTTTTATCGGAAATATTAATTTAGCTATTTAAAAACCGATAGAAAAATAACATTTTAGGTAGCACCCAATATTAACATTTCTGGTAGAAAAATAAAATTTTAGGTAACGTTTTAATGGAAATGTTAAAAAAATAATTACATTTTCGGTAGCGTCTTTCTTTAACCGTATATTAAGGTTACCGCACCTGAGACTCTCCCCAATCTTAAGGTGGTGAGGAATGTGAAAACAATAAATTTATTTGAGATTGCGGCAGGTTTAAAACTTAATATGAAAAATACCAAGAATTTTGGCATCAATGTTGAATCTACTCGAGTAAAGGATTGGGCAAGGGTATTAAAGTGCAGTTGGGACGTATTTCCTTCAACATACTTGGGGCTTTCGTTGGGTACCAGAAATTCCAAGGAGCTATAGAGGCCTATAGTGGATAAAGTTCAATCCCGTTTAGATGGTTGGAAAGGAATTTTTTTTTCATTGGGAGGATGCATAACTCTTGCTCGTTCAGTTCTTTCAAACCTCCCGGTTTTCTATTTATCTTTATTCTCAATGCCTGTTGAAGTAGAAGAAAAGATCAACAGCCTTATAGCAAAATTTATATGGGATGCAAAGGGAGGAACATAAATCCATTGGGTAAGTTGGAGTAACATGTGCAAGCCAAGATTGTGCGGAGGCTTGGGAATTTTTGACACTAAAACAAAGAACCGTTCTCTACTCAATAAGT